ATGTACGCTCAAAAACCTTCACGAAAAAAAATAAAATAAAATTTATAAATACACTTAAAAACAATTTACCTTAAAATGCATATATTCGCAAAAATATTTAAATTGTATTTTTATCAAATAACTGAATAAAAATACTAAGTTCAGTGCGATGACATGAAAAAGTTCAAATTCAAAATATTTCACATTGTTCAAGCAGTGAATTTAATTAAAATCTCGTTTGTGCTAATTAGCATTTAGATCATTAATAATTTCGCAATTTCTGTGCGAATATATCATTGTATGATTGTACTAAGCTTGTACGGACATACTACATACATATGTATATATGTAAAAACTTTGCATTGCAACTTGCCGAGTGAGTTTTTTACATTATAAACGAGTCAAATTTTAGTGAGTAATTTTATCAAATTTAGTTCAATGAATATCTTGGAATCACAAATTAATTAATTACAAATTATAACAAGTGGCATGCAGGCACCGCCGTGATCAGAAATAAGAGAAATAACTTGACTGGAACGAGAGAAAAAACAGAGATAAATTACTTATTAGCACATTCAGGCGAAATAAGTTTTGAGTTAATATTGATATGTTGATATAAAGTACCAACTGAGTGACGCGTCCTTGTTTTTTTTTTACATTTTTTGTCCAGCCGTTTTCGAGATATCGATTTATAAAAAAAACGTTCGATTTTCAAATGCCTATAACTTTGGGGGAAAGTAGGCCGATTGGGACCATTTTTTCAATTCTTCATTTTCAAAACCGTATTTCTATAAAATTTTCAAATTATTAATATCAAATTTTGATTGCCAAAAACATGTACCGATCAATTTTTTCCAAAAAAAAAACTGTCATTCCGCATATTTTAAGTGTAGTCCAATAATGGGATAACAATGGGATCTATTTTTTTTATTTTCAAATGAATGTAAAACTAACAAATTTTGCGAACTCAACGCCAAGAACTCTAGCAGCCAGTTTCATCAGTAATTTAAATTAAAAATTATTTTTTATTTTCTGTCAATATCCATATACAATTCTTCACTTAAATTGCTTTTGTGAAATGAGCTGTAACTGCGTTAAATCGAATGCATTAACTCTCCGTCAGACACATGTTTCGATTAGCACATTCGGTACGCATGAGTCTGACTGGACCCACATGCAAATTGTATACATTTATATAGAAATTATGTGCAACATTTGTTCAGTTAAACTTATTTACTGTATGTTATTCAAATACTTACTTAATTTAAGAGCTTTCTTTTTTTTATTTTATTATTTAAATACACTAACGATCAAAACTGAGTGCATGTTCGACATTTTATTACTTACAGTAACATCACTTTTTTTAATAATAAGCCGATTGCTCTGAAATTTTCAGCAATTTGTCCTTATTATCTTAGGTATAAAGCCTAGTATACAGGAAAATTAACAAGTGATTCACAACAAAAACGCAAGGCAACTCTCTTCACTCAGTTTTGAACTTTTCTGTTTTGAGATTTTAGGAGGTATATGTATATCAAGAGGATTGTGGAGACTCCTTTGCTTTTAATAGCTCTCTACTGAGTTTTCTATGATTTCGCTTGGAATATTACCCCATTATAATTTTACTCGCCTCCAAAGCTCTTCCATGTTACTGGAGCTCGCTTGTGCTATGCTAATCCTCTCTTGACCAGAGCGCTCAATTTTTCGATAGCTTTGAGGTCTGGGATTTGTGCTGGCCACCATGTTAGATGTTTTTCTTGGCATGGTGTTTTTGAAGATATTGATAAGGTCTTTCCCAAAAATATGCCTTTTTATCACTTAGCAAACAATTAATTTTCGTACCATCGGACCATATTACCCCCTTTCAGTACAAAAGCTCCTAGTCTCGTGACTTTTACAAAATTTCACTGGCAGCTTAATGGCTTGGGATATTTTACTTGCTGGCATTTGGTGCCATGGGTTAATATAAAAGGTATAATGAACACATATTTGCCGGACATTGTAGACAAAAGCGCAAACCCTGCGGAAGAAGTTGTTTGCCAGCAGGACGGAGATCCAAAGCATTCTAAAAATATTCCACACCGCCGGCTGCTTGAGCAAAATTTTCAGGTAATGGAGTGGGCAGCACAAATCTCAGACCTCAACGCCAACGAAAAATTGAGCGCTGTGGTCAACAGAGGATTAGCAAAGCACAAGCGAGCTCCAGTAACATGGAAGAGCTTTGGAGGCGAGTAAAATTGTAATGGGGTAATATTCCATTGCATTCCGTTGCATTCCTTCATTTTAGGTAAAAATCATCTCTTGCCATGATAATTCAAAAATTTAAAAGAAAATTTGAGAAACGGTTGCATTCCTTCACTTTAGGTAAAAATTACATAGGAATATATGTGGGTCCAGCCAGACCTATGTGTTACGAATGTGATGTATTAATCAACATGTCTATATATCTAGCTTTATATATATGATATCGACATGATTTTTTACGGATTGGTAGTTCACTAAACTTTAGTAAGCTACCTGAAATTTCAAGCCTCTAGCTATATTTAAAGTACCTTTTTTTGTAATTTGAAAATGGAAAAGGCCTGGCTGGGCTCATGTATCAGACGAAGGGTTAATCAAAAATATAAAAATACTAAATTGTAGCGATAAGATATCTGTACATTAATGCAGGTAGTAGTGCTTCGCTATGACTATTCGCTATAGAAGACTAAACCTCGCTTGAAAATATGATCAGAAAAAATCCTCTTTTTAATGTGAACTTTCAATTTAAGTCCTTTTTTTACAAACGGTATTGGAATGAAAAATATTTACTATATAATTTTTAATGATATCTATTATTAGTTTTACTCGGACTAAAGACGACAAAAAGTGAAATTTTCATTTTTTAAAATTCTACCCTTTTTAGTTTTTTCAATATTTTTAAAATTCGATGAAAAAGATAAATCATTAAAGTAAATTTTTAGCATCAGATTATGAAAATCATATGAGTAATGTAAATGTAATAGAGCATTAAGCGATTGGAAGATTTTTAGCCTTTAAAAATCTTTTTTACAGAGTTTCATTTTTCGTGTTGTGTGTTGTGGAGAGCTTATTTCAATAATGCGCTACTTTTTTGCCTACTATTTCTCAATACAAATTTTCCAATTACGACATCTAAGCAAATTCAACCGAAATGGCAATGAGCTGCATTAATGCTCAATGACATTTCATACAAAACCAATCGATATTTCTCAATAAGAATTACGGTGCCATCGCATGAATAACAAGTGTGACCGGACATACATATATAAATATGTACATAAATACATACCGCGCGACGTTTTCAAAAGGGGCACATATACATGCATATGTATGTATGTATAATGACAAGTCAAGAACCGCAAAAGCAATGTGGCAAGGCCGTGCCGGATACCAAAAAACAAAGAGGAAAAACATGAAAAATAAGGGAATGAGCAAAATAACAGTGCGCAGGACACATGCGAGCAGCAAAAAACTACGACGAGTTAGCAAGTTCAAACGAGAGATAGAGAGAGAGTTCAAAAGAGAAACCTTAAGTTCACGTGGTTTTCATTTTAAACGCTTTTATTTTTTTTTTCACTGTCTAAACACAATTTTACAGCCAAAACATCTGAAGGAAGCACTTTGCAATTCTTATGCGAGAACGATCATTAAGTTTATACAATCAAATAAAAAAGGCCACCAAACACCTGAAAGTAAATTTGCAAAGGTAAGGCCGCTGTGGTGTAGTGGTAATCAGTGCGCGCTTACACTCCGCAGGGCCTGGGTTCAAGCCCTGGCCAAAGCAACATCGCAAAAAAATTTTGAAAAAAGATTTTTTTCTTAACAGTGTATTTCTGCCATGAAAAGTAGCTTCTCATAAAAATACAATCGCCGTTCGGGGTCGGTGTAAAATTGTAGGTCCCTCCCCTTTGTGGTACAACATCAAGGCGCACGCCACAAATCGGAGGAGAAGCTCGGCCAAACACTAACATATGTGTAAGCGCCAATCTATTATTATTATTCAGTTTCAAGCTGCTATGAAATCCCGTTAATTTTTGTATTTTTTTTTTCGCTGGCAGTGTCCTCCATATAAAAGAAAATTGTCGAGCATACTTTTATATGGAAAACACGTCAAACACCTTCAACCAAAAAACACAATTCTTTTTGTGAGCTGTCTGCAAATGTTTTTTGATGTTGGCTGTTGTCTGTCGCTTCACCTGAACATATGAAAAGAAATTCCAAATAATCGGCAAAGAATCGGCGAAAACGGGCCGATGCCGATGCCGATGCTCAATTTTGTGCCGATACTAGCCGATGCCAATGCCTATGCCGATTAATCGGTCGGACTCTATGTTCTATAACAAAGGAATTCAAATCATTTCAATGTTACTCATACGCAGTGTACAACAATGAGTATTTGTAAGGATATTATTTAGTTACGTATACGCCATGCACACCTACCATTTGTACATATGTATGTAAGTTATATATATACAAATGTAATTGTAAAGCAACCAACAGAGTGCTTGAAAACGGCAAAAGCGCCAACATCAACAGAAATATACAACAACTATTGCGCTATTACTGTCACTGGCTCCTTTGCCAGAAATACTTATACGTACATATATGACCAAATATACATTTGTTTAAGTAGGTGTATGCATGTGATCCGTCTACATTTTCGGCTGTCGACATCAGCCACGACACAGGGTGTCTCATAGTGTATGACTTTGATGTGGTGGCGAAGTTCGGCTGCGTTAATCTGCCTCCCAGTGCTCTGCTTAACTCAGCGCTGCTCCATTCAATGGCATTGCCAGTGGCTGTGTGAGCGGCTGCTTATGCTCTGCTCGAAATACTACTGCTCTTTCATATAGTCTGCCACTGGCGGTTTTTTTTTGCTGCCTCATCGCTGCCACCGCCACTGCCACTGCTGCTGGCTTATGAATCTCATTTTCGTCGCTGCCTTTGTCGTCGCTTCGTCACATAGCCTCTTCGGCAGCGTGAGTATTTTACTTAGTCAAGATACAAATTTCGGCGTATGTAGACGCTCCCAACGGCATTTCAAACGCAACGCAAGCAAATATACAATTTTTCGTGTGATTTAAACTTTTGCGGATGTTCTTAAGGAACAGTCATCTCGTGCTACTCAAACCACAAACTAGCTAGCGAAAAGTACTGAAATACTGAAAAATTTCAAATATAAATTGAATATTTTAAGACTGCGTAGAAGATAGAGAATATTGAATTTAATAAGCAAGTGAACTTTTTTGACTTCCAAAAATACATTTTTCTCAAAATATACTCAAAGAAAAAGCAGGAGAAACGTAAGGCGATTTTGCACTTGTTAGTGAAACGAATTACGTCAAGAAAAGTGTGAAACGAGCCAAAGTGTATGCGAAATTTTCATTTTCATTTTACGGAAAAGTTCATATTATATATCTATAGTATATATCGACAACAATAATAACAATAAATACACAAAACCTACTTTATACAAAGTTGTTTATTTGCCAAACGGATGTGATTTGCTGTGCTGCCTTTTTTTCGAAAAAAATCTTAGCATTGATTTTTCACACGTACCAAACCTACACACAGGCTCACGTGCATATGTGCATATAAATAAGTATTTAAGTAGTTTTCGGCGGAAAATTTTGAGGCAAACATCAATGCGGCAGGCATTATTGAATATTTAATTCGATTTGTAATCTACTCACTACCGAATTGAAAGCGATTTGTGCGCGCATCTTTTGAATCGAGTCAAAACAAAAACAAATTTACTCGCCCACAGACAAGCGTCAATCAATAGCAAAACAATCAATAAAACAACAACAAACATATGTACGTGCATTAAATTATAACTAAGGAAAACGCAAAAAAGAACCTAGTTCAACGCGAGCAAAAAATCAGCGCTTCTCGAAGGAACAGTAGAAGAAAAAATAACGATAACAACCACAAAAGCGCATAAAAGGCACGAAAACCTAATATAAAGAAAGCAAGGAATACGTACATACGTAGCACAGCATTACGCCAAAGTGAAAAAAGTATAAAGAAAACATAAAATTAAAACACGCCACTGACGACGACAGAGAATCACAAATCGCATAGACGACGCCAATACGACGCCGTACATAAATCAATAATAAAAAAGAGGCAAGGAATTTTTTTTTTTTGTATAGCAAATCGGCGCCTGACGCACTCCTACTTGCCTGCTTCCAACCCACCGCCGCGGCGCTAGCGTACTGTGCGTTTCATTGTTTCATTGAGAACGCATAGAAGGACATCAAAAAAATAAGGTTAGCAATAACAACAACCACAACAACAACAAATATGGCTATGATTGAGGGCATGACAAGCATAGATTTGGGCACAAGTCCCATGCAAGAGACAACAGCCGACATTGCTGAGGCAATGCCGGATGAGCCGATCGAAACGCCAGAGGAAAGGTTAGTAAAATACAAGTATGTACATACATACAAACCAGAGTTGTTGCGAATATTCGCATTCGCATTCGCAACTGCGGAGCTTCCGCATTAATTTTAACATTCGCATTCGCAATAATCAATGCGGAGCTTTTACGAATGCGAAAGTTGTGCAAATGCACCGATAAAACGTACATATTATATGGTAAACAAAATGACAAATTGTAGCCAATATTTTTTTTGAGATTCAAATGCTTATAAAAAAACGGGGTGATTTTTTAAAAAATAACAGTATTGTGATCCGATTCGGCTGACAGGCACGACTTTGAAAACAGAACTTTGTTCAAAATTTCCATTCCTGGAAAACAATAATTTATTTTCCATATCCACCTATTTAGCTCGCCAGAAGCACAAATTGTTGAAACCAGTAGCAGAAGAAAGTATTAAAAATGATATAAAAAACCAAATTGGAAAAACGCTGATGAAGTTACAGATTCCCCAAATTCTGAAACAGCCAAAGGAATGAGAATGAAGAAAGCTTTAGAAAAACCTGACACATCTGGTTTGGCTTGTAAGCGCTGTTTAAACAACGGTCTCGCCATTATGCTAGATTTTAATTGTTTCTTAAATATACTTGACTTCCGCATCCGCGGTGGTTAGCTGTTAGATATTCGCATCCGCATTCGCATCCGCGGATGTCTAAAATGCCACATTCGCAACATCCCTAATACGAACACACATGAAAGTTAAGGGCGACGATGAGTTAGGAAATGAGTAGCAAATGAAATGAATTATGTCTTGTAGAAATGTATATATATAAAACTGAGTGTGTGAAACATCAATTAATTAATTATACATACTACATATATTGTATGGATGACTAAAAGAAACATGTATGTGTGTATGTGGACCAGCTTGCGTGAGTGAGCTCATGAGCAAGAGTAAAGCTCTTAGAGGCGTAATTTTTCTTTTGGGGACTAGCAGGGATGGGCGTACTTATTGATAGATAAACAAGTAGAAGGATAATAACAAGGGCGTGTATGTACATATGTAAGTGAAGGTTATCCATCTGTGTGATAATATAATTTGTGCTATGTGTAGGACGGAGTAGTTTTTTTGTCTGTGAAATTCTTAACGAAAGTGAAACGCCATCAACATAAATAATAAATACATCAAAAACAGACACTGCAGACAAAAA